GGGAACCCCACTGCCCACATCCCTCCAGGTCGAATAAGACCCGTCCACCACCACCCTCTGGGTGCAGCCCTCCAGCCAGTTAGTGACCCATCTAACCGTGTAGGCATCAATACGACTGTCTCCTAGTTTCTTACTGAGAATAGGGTCAGAGATGGTATTGAAGGCCTTCCTGAAGTCCAGAAAGACTATATCCACTGCGACCTGGTGACCTGGCATCCAAGGACTTGGTGACCTGGTCATAGGAGGCCACCAGGTTGGTTTGACAAGACCTGCCCCTAATGAACCCATGCTGGTTGCCCCTGAGCATAACCTCCCCTGCTGGCCCTTCTTGGACATGTGCCAGGATAATTCTTTCGAAAAGCTTCCCCAGGACCAAGGTAAGACTCACGGTCCTGTAGTTTCCTGGGTCTTCCTTCCTCCCTTTTTTGAAGATGAGGACCACATTGGCCCTTTTCCAGTCCTCCGGCACATTGCCTGAGCACCATGAGTGCTCGTAGAGCTGTGCCAGAGGTCCCGCAATGACCCCTGCTAGTTCCTTCAGCACTCTGGGGTGGAGATCATCAGGACCTGTGGATTTAAATATATCTAGTTCCTCCAGAAGTTCCCTGACAAGGTCTTCATTAACCCTAGGCCTGGGGGTGCCACCCACAGGGCCCTTGGGGGTGCCAGTGGGAGAGAGATCCGGGTCCTTCCTCAGAAATACAGAGGCAAAGAAATTGTTGAATATGTCAGCTTTACCGTCAGGTGAGATAATCAGATTTCCTAGCGTGTCCTGCAGAGGCCCTACGTTACCTGGCACCTTCTTTTGCCCCCCTATGCATTTGAAAAAGGACTTCCTGCTGTCCTTGATCTGGGTCGCTAGTCCCAGCTCCATTTCTGCCTTGGCCTTCCTGACCGCCGCGCCCCCCCCCACACACACACATACACACACATTCCCGAGCTACCGAGGTATAGCCCTCTCTTGTGATGGCCCCTCCCTTCCAACAGGTGTACGCCTCCTTTTTTGTTTGGAGATGTTCCCGGATGCTTTTGGTGAGCCATGGGGGCCTTTGCACCCTCTTGCCCCCTTTGATTCCTGTAGGGATTACTTCCCTTTGAGCTTGGAGGATCGTCTCCTTAAGGAACGACCACTCCTTCTGGACACTCAACTCCCTCCAGCTCTGGGACCTCAGTGCTTCCCCCACTAGTTTTCTCACCTCGTTAAAGTCCGCCCTCCTGAAGTCGAGGGTTGCTGCCTTGCTGGAGGCTTTTGCCACCTTATGCTGGATGGTGAATTCCAGCAGATGATGATCGCTACCGCCCAGGTGGTCGAGCACCCGCAGACCCTGTACCAGGTCGTCGCCCGTGGCCAGGACCAAATCCAACAAGGTGTCTCCCCTGGTGGGGCTGTGTTACCTCCTGGGTTAGATGGAGGTCTTGTATGTCAGTTAAGAGCCTGCGTGAGTGGTCAGACCTGGCTGTCCGCTCCTCCCAGCAGATGTCTGGAAAGTTTAGGTCATCCATGACGACCACATTCTTGGCCCTAACTATCTCTGTGAGCTGACTTAAGAATTCCTGGTCTCGATCTGCTCCTCGGTTGGGTGGTCTGTAGTAGACCCCCACCGTTAAGTCCCTTTCTCCCCAACCCCCTTGTATTTTAACCCAGAGCACTTCCGTTCGCTCCTCCTCTGACCCAGTGTTACTCACTGTGGATGCGTGTTGCTGCTTGACATAGTGCCACACACCTACCCTTCCTACCTGTCCTATCTTTCCTGTAGAGCCTGTAGCCCTTGATATTCACTGCCCAGTCATGCGTTGGGTCCCACCACGTTTTGTTGTATCCATCAAGAATGCGTGGGATGGAAAGAAGCTTTTATGGATAGGTGTGCTAGCAGGTCAAAAAAAAAAGCAAACAGACTTTATACCAAGCAACTTAAACCTGGGTGTTTTTTATTCTGCTACAATGTTTTGGCACTGTGTGCACCAGATTTTAGGCATGTGCTTAATTTTATGCCTGTAAATATTCTCTCAGAAGATAAATGTGTAAGTGCCTGTAGGATTAGCACCATCTTGAATCATTGTGTTAGCATTCTAGATTGGCTTTCAGTTTGGTAAACAAGTTCATGCTACAGACTTGTATCAATTTTTTAAAAAGCATACCGCAGTATTGAAATTCAAATAAGGTAACTTTCTGGGAGAGACCATGAAAAGGGGAAAAATGGGTATGTTGTCCTGTCATTTTAAAAGAAAAATGCCAATGGAAAGTTCATTTTGTGATCTTTGAATATACTTGGTCTTTGAGTGAAGTATAATACTTAACAGTTATTAAGTGACTTAAACTGAAACATTAATCATAGAATCATAGAAGTAGGGTCAGAAGGGACCTTGTAGATCTTCAAGTCCAACCCCCTGCCTGGGCAAGAGGAAAACTGGGCTCAGTTGACCCCAGCCAGGTAGGCATCAAGCCGCTTCTTAAAGACCCCCAGGGTTGGAGCCAGCACCACTTCCCTTGGAAGTTGGTTCCAGATCCTAGCCGCCCTAACTGTGAAGTAGTTCTTACGGATATCTAATCTAAACCTACTGTCCAACAACTTGTGGCCGTTATTCCTTGTTATCCTGGGGGGCGCTAGGGGAACAGGGTCTCCCCCAAACCCTTCTGGTCCCCCCCCTCTAGTGAGTTTATAGACGGTCACAAGGTCCCCCCTCAGCCTTCTTTGGTGAAGGCTGAACAGGTTCAGGTCCTGTAACCTCTCATTGTAGGGTCTGCCCTGCTGTCCCCGGATCATGCGGGTAGCCCTTCTCTGGACCCTCTCAATGTTGTCCACATCCCTCTTGAAGTGAGGTGCCCAGAACTGGACACAGTACTCCAGCTGTGGCTTGACCTGTGTCGCGTAGAGGGGGAGGATCACCTCCTTGGCCCTACTTCAGATGCAGTAAGTTCATCTAGTTAATGTAGTAAGTTCATCTAGCCTGAGACCAAAGCCTTGGGAAAGTGAGAGATTGCATATTCAAGTCCGCTTTTTAGGTAGTCAGGGGTTCAGACAAAAATAAATGGATGCAGAAACTAGAATTCTGGGACTGTGGGGCAGGAGACTGTCCAAATGATGTAACTCTTCATAGTCTGAAGTGTTCCTTTGGGATCCATATTTAATATTAGTAGTGCTTTTCTGGTCTGATCTGCTATTTATCCTAGATGTATATCATCATGTTACAGTTTGTTTGAATATTTTATTGAGTTCTGTATGACATTACTTGCCTTTTGGAAAGTATGTTTTCTCTAAATACAATATTTAGTACTTAAGTTTTGCTACTTTGCAATGCCTGTACATTCTGCATCAAGTGCATGAGATTTGCCGGTTAACTCCTTAACTCATTAGAGCAATATGGAAAGCCATTAAGAGGGACATATTTCATTTTAGGGCCCAGTGGAGGAAAAAAGTAGTAAGGCTATGTGAAGCTTCAGTCGCTGATTCTATCTGGCAGAGATTTGGCCCGATTCGGAGGCCGAATCTCTGAATTTGAATCGAATCAGGAGACCCTTTAATTTTTCTGAATCAAATTGGAGAGTTTCGATGATTCAGATATAGGCACAGCTTTAAATGTTTATCTTCAGATTCAGACTTGCCCAAATCAAATCAGGACAGTGATCTGAGTCAACAAATTGAATCACTGTCCCCTGATTCGGGTCGAATCCAAATCAAATACGACGTGCTTCGTACACCCTTAAAAAGTAGGTGTGCAGTGATCTAAATACTTCTGCTGTGCATAATAGAAACAACGTATGCCTGCAGCAGTGTCCTGATAGAAGCCAAGGAAATGTCATATGCTTACAAATTACAATAAAAATTGAAAGTTAATGTAAGGAGCTATTAATAAACTTGGCTGAATATTTAATCTTAAAACATAATTTTGTTATAGATTCTTTATGCTGTAGCTTTAATGAATCTATCTCCCAACATTGTACTTAATAGAGACAATAGAGAAGTCTGTTTAAGCAGGAAAAAAAATCCGCGTAACCATACTGGCTTTTAGCCTATTAATTAGAATTAGAGATTTATTTTTAAGTCTACATCTGTACTGCTTGCTGCATCTGTTAGTATGACTCATGCTTCAGCAAATCTGGATGGATGGAATTTAAGTAACTTCAGAAAAAAAAATCTGTTGCAGAACAGTAGACCTGCTACTGAACCAATAACGCTGATAGATGTTTACAATTCTTGTAGGCAATTCCTTAATCATAGGTTTGGGTAGGCAAAAACTGAAATAGTTACTATGAGGAATCTAAAATATTTTCTCTATTAACATAGGTAAGATTCTAGGAAAGTGCTTAGTCTTTAAACAGCTTTCCATTTTGAGAAAATATATTTTGCCCTAGTTTAACTGTAAAGCTATGATTGTTGTTGTCGTTCTTGTTGATCTCGCTTGAGTGATATTCTGTATATCATTTCAAATAGAAATAGATCTACAGTGTAAATTGATTTTAAAAAAATCACATACATCTGAAGGGCTATTTGCTCCCAGTTGTCTTAATCAGGTTTGAATTTGAGTTTGTGGGAGAAAAAAAAACAGAAGAGATGGATGTGTGGAGATTTTGCAGGTTTATTGTTTAACTAATTGAACAATTCAGTATTGGGAAATAACTTGTTCACTGCTTTTTTGGTTCACTCTGTTATGTTGTCTGTCTTAAATTGCAAGCTTGTTTTAATAGGGATCTCTCCATCCCGTGTGTGCACACTACCTAGCAGAGGTCAACCCTGACCTTTGATTAGGGCCACGTATGCTGCTGAAGTCAAAATATTTTCTTGTTCTTGTCGCATGCTAGAAAATTTTGTTTTTTGTGTATTTAATAGGAAATGGAAATGTCAAAATGGTACAATGCTTGATGCTGAAGTTTATAGTAGACACACAGTCACAGTCTAAAGACATGTATAGTCAATATTCAGTGTGTGAATTATATACAAATGTGCTATTTCAAGGCACCCACATTAACTCCTTGTTTTGTTTTTTGTTTTTTTGTCCAGCCCCTTTTATGGAGAAGATTTTTACTGTGAAATTCCTCGGAGTTTTCGTCACCTGTCATTTTATATTTTTGATAGAGATGTTTTCCGAAGGGATTCCATAATAGGTATGTGTTTTATTAAATGGTTGTTTTTATTTAGAGCTTTTCATTTTATAGATTCAGTATTTCTCATGCTCATCAGAATATATTCAATTCTTTGAATACAGGTTTGTTTTGTGCAACAATGACAATGAGAAGTAGTGATCTATTTTTTGTGGGGAGGGAGGTGGGTGTGTATTGGTGCAGTCTTTACAGTACTTTATCTCAGAAGACCCAAAAGCACATTAACATTTTTGTGCAACATAGAATCATAGAAAATTAGGGTTGGAAGGGACCTCAGGAGGTCATCTAGTCTACAACCCTCTACTCGAAGCAAGGCCATCCCCAACTAGATCATCCCAGCCAATGCTTTGTCTAGTTAGGTCTTGAAAACCTCCAAGGATAGAGTCCACCACCTCTTTGGGTAACCTGTACCAGTGTTTTACTACCCTCGTAGTGAGAATTTTTTTTCCTAATATCTAACCTAAACTTCCCTTGTTGCAACTTGAGACCATTTGTCCTTGTTCTGTCATCTGTCACCACTGAAAACAGTTTAGCCCCATCCTCTTTGTAACCCCACTTCAGGTAGCTTAAGGCTTCTATCAAATACCCTCTGTCTCCTCTTCTCTAGATAAAATAAGCCCAGTTCCCTCAGCCTCTCCTCATAAGTCATTTCTCCCAGCCCCCTCACCATTTTTGTTGCCCTCCACTGGACTCTTTAATTCGTCCATATCCATTCTGTAGTGGGGGGCACAAAACTGAACACAGTACTCCACATGTGTCTTCACCAGTGCTGAATAGAGTGGAATTTCCCTCACTTCCTTAGACTTGCTGGCAACACATCTACCAATGCAGCCCAGGATGCTGTTAGCCTTCTTTGCAACATTTTAATATAAATGTATTTAATATATATACCATCTTTCTCAATGGTCTCACAAAGGCTTTCAGTAGAACAGAATAACTTAACAGGAACAATGCCTATAAAAACCAGAGAAAACATGAAGTAGAAACTCACTAAGTAATATCCAGGTTTAGCTGTGTTTGCTAAATGCCTATCCAAAAAGGAAAGTCTTGCAGTGCTCTTGAAAGATGTCTAGGCTTGGTCTCTGGCAGGCCTTAAGGAGGAAGGAGTTTCAGGGCTGAGGAGCTGAGATTGGCAAAGCCATGTGGTGTGGTCAGGCAGTTCTGGCACGTTGATGGGACTTGCCGGAGATTGCTTTTGGCTGACCTTAAGGATTATAATGGAGCACAAGGGAGAAAGCAATAGGGGCAAGACCATTTAGAGCCTTGTAGGTCAAAACCAGCACCTTGAATTCTGCCCAGAAAGCTATTAGGAGTCGATGCAAACTCTGGAGCACCAGAAGTCCTGGCAGTTCACCCCTGTCAGAAGACAGGTCACTGAATTTTGCACCAGCTTCAGTTTCTAGACGGTCTTCAGGGGCAGTTCCACTGAGAGTGCATTGCAATGATTAGCCTTGAGATTGAAGTCATGGAGGATGGTGTCCAGATCTGAATTGGAAATAAAGGGTCACGGCTTCTCCATAGCTTCTCGCCAGATGGAGTTGGTGAAAGGCGCATCTAGCCACTGCTACCACCTGAAAATCCGGGTGTAGCAGAGGATCTAGGAGCACCTCCCAGGCTGCAAACTTGAATGGCAAGGGGAGACGAAGGCCCATCAGTGATGGAGGTCTCAGTCCCTTCAGAGTTGAGCAGTTTACCCAACACTGCACCTGCCTTGTCTGGATTCAGTTTTAACTGGTTCATGCACATTTAGTCCAACTTCAGCCAGGCATTGGGGAAGGACCCATGACTGCAAGGTCATGGTCAGATGAGAGAGAGGTAGAGATGGGTGTCATCAGCACCCTGATGATACCTCACTTCAAATCTCTGCAGTCCCTCATAGTAGCATCAAATATGTTGACTAAGAAGAGCTAGAAGATCAAGCCCAGGGGGAGCCTCACAAGAAAGGTCCTAAGGGCATGTCAGGTGCCATGCTTTGGGACCTTCCCTACTACAAAGAGCAGAACCAATATAGAGCTGTCCCATGAATACCTACTAGGCCATGTAAATGCTTTAACAGCATCTCAGGGTCAAGTGTATCAAAGACCGCTGAAAGATTTGGTGAGATCCCCTGTTAATCTCCAAGTGAAGATCATCTCTCAACTGCAGTTTCAGTGCTATATCCAGGATAAACATCAAACTTACATGGGTCCAGGATTCCAGTGGCTGGAGGCTGGAGCTGTTGGATAGCCATTCATTCCCCAAGAAGGGGAGGTTGAAGACTAGGCAGTAATTGGCTGGGGAGTCAGCGTCAAGTCATGTTGGCTTGAGTAGGAGCTGGACAACTGCAGATTTAAGAATGCGCAGCACTCGGCCATCCCAAAGGGAGGCACTGGCAGTCCCCGCTAGTAGTAGCTTCAGTCTCCCCTGGAGCTTTGTGGGTAGTTTTTATTTTTGTTTCTCCACTCTTAAATTAACAAAATAGCACATTATCCAAGTTCCAGCGTTCACAAAATCATGTCTTTGCACAGTTAAATACTTTCTATTAACATATAGCAACAAAAAATGCTACTTATACAAGAAAGTTTAGAGGTGTAAAGGAACCATAATTCAGTTCCTCAACTTGTTTGCATGTAAGATTAAAAAAAACCAACCAGCTGTGAAGTTGAGGTATCTCACCTTTTTATAGAAAAAATTGATAAATCTGCATCTGGAAGTAAAGATACTAGAAAGAGGCAGACTGATAGCTAGGTAACGTCACTCAACAAGAATTAAACGTTAAATGTATTGTGTTTTTACAGTATATTTTCACTTTCTCTTGTATTCTTTCCCCACAACAAACTTTTTAGCAAAGCATATATTCCTCATTGAGATCTACAAACTTGCTGTGTTTGTGTTGAGGGAACCATAGCTTTGAAATCTTACTTCTGTAGATGTTACATTTTAACTTTAATGCTGCATTTTATTTCCTGTTGATTGCTTTGTTCTACATTGACTTTTCTAGAGCCTGATTCAAAGACCTTGTGTACCGAGTTCATGAATGTAACTACTTGTTTCATGTCCCATATATATATATAAAATAAATAAATAAAAGACTTCTGTTGGATTTACATTTTTTTAGGTTTAAGGCTATGTTAGGTGTTAGGCTGGTAACATTTGTTTTTAATAATAATTTAGTGTTTATGGGGCATTGTTATATTATAATATTTATTTGGGTTGGAGTGACTATAGCTTTGAATAAGTATTTGCTTCTTCAGATATGAAATTTTTTTTTTTCTTGTGATCAGTTGCAACAGCAAATTCTCCAGCATTCAAGGTAGAAGTGTTATGTTCCCATAGTGTGTAGAAAATAGAAAATATAAAGCCCTGAGTTAGCAAAAAAAATACTTTAGACAATATTTTTTTCCTCTTTGTTTAAGCCTCTCAACAAAAAAATAAACCCAGAAAGATACACATTTATGTAGCGGATAAACTTTTAGTGTGTAACAAAGGTTGGTTTTTTTCGTTTGTTTCGGGGGGGGGGGGGTTTGCATTGGCGGATGAAAGGATTGTACAGATAAATACATCTGTGGTTTTGCATGTTTCATTGCTTCATTGGCATTTTCCTAAAGTTAACTTGCTAAGTCATTTAGTATTTTATTAGCTGAACTGATGATAAAGCTGTGGACAACTGTTCCTTGGAAGCAGTGTGGAATGCAAACATATAATAGAAATGCTGGGCCTAATTAGTCTGAAACATAAAGAGAGTACATGTGCATGCCCATTTTCTATTGCCCACTTTCTGGGTAATAAATGACTGTTAAACTGTTCTTAGCTTTCACACATTCTTGCTTTGCCTTCCATAGTGTTATTCTATCAGTATTTACTGGTTTTAAAACATAGTGAGAGGCTTTCAGTAGAAAAGTTACTAGTACTAATAAAACCTAGTACCAATCTCATTAGGCTTCATTGTTTTGTGAGAGAAAAACCAGCTTAACTATTCTTTGCTTAAAATAAAATAATGTGTTTTTTCTCTTCCTAGCCCTGTTAATTATGCTCCAAATGAATCGGATCAGTGGTGAGCACAGAAAACCAGATATGGTACCTGTAAGAAATACAATAGTCATCTACCATTTTGAATCTGAAAGGGATTCAGAGGGCCAATTTGGAAAATCATTGATACTCAATGCACCTCCTTTGTATTAGGCAAACATGGTGTGTCTGGGTGGGTACAAGTAGCAGAAGGCAAGAGTAATGATACAGTGATATTATTATAGATAGCAACTATGAAAATGCATGTGTTGATTAGATTTGAAACTGTTTGGGTATTCCTGTTTTAGTTTTGGTTAATACTTGGTGGAAGTATTAAATGAGAGACCATTAAAAAAAATAGAGGGGGCAGGTCATGCCAATACTTTGTAGAGGAAGGCTTTTTCTTTAAATTAATCCAGTACCTAAAAGAGTAACCGACAAGAACCATCTCCACTGTAGGCCCCAGGCCGGTATTCCCACGGGCTTGTAATATACAGCTCAGGATGCAAGTCTGTGACCTTGAGTATATAGATCACACAAAAACAGGAAACATGCCACCTCAGTTCATTTAGCATTACACTAAAAGCATAGCTTATACTGAGTATTGGTTACATGAATTATTCTCTACTTAAATCACAAATGTGGCAGGAAATAGTAATTGCAAGACTGTATTTATTTTGGAAATTTATTCCCATAACTCTGGCATGAGAACTTCTATTTTAAGCACATGTTTGTGTTCATGTCCGTCTGGGGAGGGGGTTGTGTATATTTCTCCATACACCAAGGGGAACTTGGATATAACAAAATCCTGCTTATTTTGGAGTTCTGGGGTAGAGGAGTGACTTCACACTTGGGGGGAAATCCTTGTCTTTTTGTGTGTGAAAAAGGAGCTCTTAAACCTTTTAAAATATTGTCACTACATTATGTAACTGATTGGAAGATTAGGTTGGTATACTGGGGGTGTATGTGAGAAGGTGGTCCTTGATGGGTCCAAAACAACCATCTCCTAAACTGTT